GTGCCCATTTCTAAAATGGGCACACAAGCCTTGTGTCACAAGGGTCACGTGGCGAGAGTGCTGACTCAGGTCTACTGCCATCTTCTGGTGAAATATAACCACCAGCCTTGAAGGAGCAGGAGGCAGCAGGGGACAGCTGCGGGAACCGCTGTGCGGTGAAGGGAAAAACGCCGGTCGGCGGGGATGAGTGACAGGCCGAGTCGGCGGGGAGAAGAGGCTGCGGGCCACTCGAAATTTGAAAACAGGCCGCAATTGGTCCCCGGGCCGGACTTTGGACATGCCTGCTCTAGCTTCTTTAGGGACTGAATATCCCAGAATTAACTTACTATTTGTTGTTGGGTTATCTCTGCATTGTTTAACTCAGGAGCAGCCCAGAGTGTCCACATTTGGATATCATGCTAACAACCTATGAATGAGGTAATCATGAATTGCAAAATGAATGCAGGAGGTGCCCATTCACACCTACTAATTTATGGGTTAAGTTAAAAACACACATGCACGCACAAATGAATAACCAACAAATTTGTGTTAGTGTGAACCAGGTCAATATCTTGTCATGGACAAGACGGAAAATTCTGAGAAACCATTAACAGCAGCAAGTTCTTGGGCACACTTCCTCCATTATACCAAACCACTATGCTAGCCTAAATTAACCTTCCTAATCTTCAGATGTTTTGGACTACAATTTTTAGCATTACTGATCATCAGCCAGGCCTGCTGGAGTTGACTGAAGATCAAAGCATCTGCATGACATCATATTTGGAAGTCTGGTTTGGATCTTTCAAGATCTAGTACTTGAAGCTTTCTTTATTAGGAAAGATGAAACTTTCTTGTATTAGTTAAAAATGTCAAAGGATTACAATAGCAATGTGCACAAGAATCCCAAATGTTGGCTCATTACTGTGCTTGCAACTCTCTTTCCCTTCTACACTATTATTGTAGTACAGAAGCTTTGTTCTCCTCTGAATTTTGTCACTCTAAACAGTTTTATAAGCTGCTGATGCAATATTGTTCTGACTCATCAAGCCTTAATTACTATAGAAAATAATCTCTAAGTACTTTAATTACACATCCTTACTTCTGATCATCCATGTTATTAGTGCTTCACTGAAATCTGAACCCCACTCTTTTCACCTTTTTTGAAATAGCAGAGATGCTAGTGTTGAACACAGGTTCACTTATCTTGAAATAAAAGAAGCAAATCACCAGAACCCAATTCATGAGGAGTTCTTTCTCCCTGTTAAATTCTTTCAGCCTGATTAATACCTTCAACAAATGAATAATGGTAAATAAAATGGAAGAATAGAGCTGTTTGTTAAATTTCTACTCCACCCATTAGTCAGGAAGACTTTCTAGGTGACTTACAAAATATTACAACAGCATACACAGTAAAAGAACAGCATTAAATTAGACATACAAACCACAACAATAAAATAACTGCAAGAAAACCACAAAAATGGGTAGCTAGTGATGGTTTCAGGTCCATTTCCTCCAATATGTCAATACTAAAGAAAAAATGTGACATCCTAGAAAGGTTGGTGGATCACTGGAACTATCACAATATTGCCACTGTGTGGATATAATATGAATAGCACGACAGATTTCAAGTACAGGAATATACTTCATGCAGCTTTTGTTTGTGTTGGAAACAAGCAATTTTCTTCTGATTGTAATTATCACATGAACTGGCATGCCCAAGGTTAGAAACAAACATTCTCATTAAGGAAGTGTGCCAACACTCATCAAGAGGGATTTTACAGACACAGTGGCCAGAATCCAGACAGCTATTTTATGCAAGATCAAGAAACTCTATGTGTCCAAGAAAGTTATGAGGGGTTTTTTTCTGAGCAAAAGATACAGCCACACTGTATTACAAAGCATCTGAAAAGCCATGAGGTCCACAAGCCATTTCCTCTGCAGCTCAGGCAACTGAGAAAATTCAAATCAAAACCCTTTTGGATGCATAGAAGCAGATGCACATTCCTTTGAAACCTGTCCAATGACTTTTAAAAATAGTACTAAAATATTGAAAATGAGCTCAGTTTCAAGTAACGAAGATACGTTTCAAGCAAATCACTTAAAATATTTTCTCCGATGCCTCCCTGTTGCATGCCATGAACTGAAACCATGTCCTGAAACATGGCCAAATTGCCCTCTGGCTGCGCACTGTAAAGAAGGATGAGGCAAGCAAGCCTTGCTTTGGCTTAGGAAGCTCCAGTCTAATAAGCTTGTAGAAGTCACAAAGGGTTGCCCAGAATTAAGTTGGACAACCAAGGGGAAATCATGTCTGATAAATAGCATATAATAGAATTTAGCACTGGATAGTAAACATGTTCGGTGACTATTGTGTAAAGACAAAAAGGACCATTGTAATGACCACTGCAAAACAACGGAAGAGAGCAACAAAAGAGGAAAAACAGGAGATCTCTTCCAGTAGTTCCAGGAAATCAAAGGGAAAGTCAAACCTAGAGCAGAAATACTGAAAGATCTACAAAAGAAAACATAATAACTGACCAGGAGAAAATAAAGAGAAGGTGGAAATAATATAAAGAAGGACTATACAGAAGAGATAAAAATTGCCGGACTCCTTCAGAGAGGAATCCTATGTGGAAGAGCCTACAATATTAGAAAGAGAAATGAAAGCTGCTCTGAAAGGGCTTGCGAGGAACAAAGCACCGAAGCAGATAGGATTTCAACAGAACTATTTTTAAAGAAAACCTGACTAGGCAGTGGAGAAATAGATGCAGGTTTCCCTGACCTTTTGAGATTTACAGGACAGCAGCAAAGAGGAGGTAATCAGTGAGGAACATAGAAACAGGGTATGCAAGAAAGGTACGTAGCGATGAGATTCACAGGGCTAGAGCAGCCAGCATCCATGGAGGAAGAGCAGGAGATCGTTATCTGGAGGGAATGTACTGATACTTAAAGCCCAAAAATTATAACAAGTTAAAGATGGCAATAGCTGGAGAAGATTCTGAAGTAATAACTAAAGTGTTATAAAATGCATGTGTGATTTCAGGCTATTTTTACCCAGGCCCAAGCGATCAAGCTGCTTGTCTTGACAAGGAATGGTTTTAAGTCAGTGTATTGCGCAGACCTTCAGCACAATGCTTAATTTTTTTCAGATGCTGAACAAACAATAAATATTTAAGTATATGTTTCAGCACCATTCAATTTCAATAAGAATAAAATAGATTCAGGCAAGGCAGATACGTGGAGCACATATGTATATAGTGCTTCAGGAACTAGGAACCATCCACTGGGAACTCCTTAATCCAGGTCACAGTAATTTGTAAAACCTACAAAAATACATTGACTAGGGATAGGGCTTCCACATTACCAGTTTTTTTAGCTGTCAAAAGGCCATGGGGGACCCATTTACGGTGATTTTGCATTAAGTTCCAAGAGATGGGGTAGATTGTGAAGAAGAGCGTGCATGTCTATAAATATTAGAAAGCTTTTCAACTATCCCTAAAACAGGTACAGCACCATGGAGGCTGCTTTAAAGCTCAGAATAAAGCCTGGAGTAGATACACTGCCCTACTCCCATTGGAGCCACCAACACTGCTGGACCACATGTGGAGTGGCAAAAATAATGGTGGCTCAGGAGACTCTCCATCTGCATCCCTGCACACTTCCTGGGAATAAGCTGAACTGAACACAGTGAGCTAAGCATGCAGAGGGGAGGAGTAAGAACCACAAGGTTTGGTTTGGTTACCAAGACCATCCAAATTCTGTGATCCCATTTATAGGAGTATATGCTCAAGGCACGTACAATGTGAATCAATCATAGCAGAAACATTCATAGATTCTCCCCTACTCCCCTACCCGCAACATACATTTTTCCTACCCGCAACATACATAATGCACCACCGTTCATGCAAAGAACTTGTGCGTTCCACATTTGCTGATGTGCTTTACCTACTGCTCACCCACCCTGAGAACAGCTCTTGAAAATGTTACAGTCTTGTTAAAATCCTACTGTCAGACATGAGAACCACATTAAGGTCAAGTACTTATACCTATCATACTTAAGGATTGTTTTGTTGCTTTTTTTCCCCCCAAGCAGCTGCAAAAATCATGCAGAAACCACCAACATTACTCCTTCAAACATGGTGACAGGTCTTTTGTGGCCTGAAATTGTTGGCCAACAGCGATCAGAGGATCAATTCTAATCTTGGTAAAGGCCTCGACCAAAACACTTATGTTGTCTTTGTTGTTATCTCTGTTGTCAAAAGCCAAGAATTACCAAGGCAAGATTTAACAGGCAAAGAGACAAGAAGGATCAGGACAAGACAATAATGGGAAAGGTGGCAGGGGCTGGATTCATTTCTTATTTTTTTCATACCAACTGCTTGACAATAAGGTACTGGATTTCACAGATATCACAAAATCAGGGGCAGCAGAGCTTATATCTCTGAGCACTGCATGATCAGTTCACGCTAAAATGTAGAGGAACGCCTGACATTTCAGGATGTCACCTCTGAAGCACTTCTTACTAGAGTGTTGCTCTTCTAACTTAGGAAGATCCAGGGCACCCAGAAGGACATCAGATTCAGCTTCTTTTCATGTCACCTTTATCCTGGTTCCAACAATCAGTTGCAGATTCCTCCCTTGGGACTAGGGAGCCTAAGCTGCGGCACATGCTGAGGGCACTATGGTAGAATTGGCCCCTCAGTGATATCTAATGCTGGAGACAAGATTCTTTACTATAGTTGACTTACACCATTGCTCTCAAGCATGTTTACTCTGAAATGGACCCCACTGATTTCCATGAATTTTCTCCAACATAACCATGGTGACTGTCAATCTGAACTGGTTCAATAAAAGCTGAAAGGAAAAAGAAAGAAAACTGTCCTTAAAATCCAGGACTTACGTTGTCTTTTGACTTCCTAGCTGACTCCAGACTTCAACCACAAAACCATCAAAGTTTTCACTCTGAAATAATGAAAAGATTGGAGACTGATCAGAATGAATGCCCCAGTAAACATCATGGAAAATATTGCTCTACTTTTAATTAAGTAAAAAATTAAGAAGCCTCATAAAATACTTTTTATCATCTGGTCTTTGGCTTTCAGTGCTTTTATCAGCTGTGGTGTGACTTTCTCTGATGCTGATTAATTAGAAATGTGTGTTGACTGCTTTTGTTTTAAGCTCTGTTATTATTTGTCCATTTTATCTGTATACCATCCTGAACCCTTGTAAAATGACTGTTTATCAGTGAAAGGACATCAGTGAATGTATACACAACCAACACACCATCATAGCAACATGCATTGTGGCACTAACTAGAAGTCACACCTAAGTTCTATATGTATTAGTATGGCAGAATTTAACCTAGCTCCATTTTTTACTTAAATACTAAAAAAAATCAATGCTAAATGGCTTTGGGTTCAAATATATATAAGAGCACCTCCTCCCATTTTACACATTTAAGCCTCAAGATCCTCAGAGCAGGCCCTTCTCCAAAATCTGTAAGAGAAACGCCCTCATCATCTACAAAACTGAGGGTATTCTCTTTTATGGATAATAAGTGCATGTCTCTCATAGAAAAGTGGTAGTGCAGCCCTTGAAAGTCCTTCTTCGGGGGTATGCTTGCAGCCAACTCTGCTCACCAGGAGGAGGGGGTGAGGGGCACCCCTGGGATTCCCTGTACCCCAGTTGAGCATCCCTTCTCTGTGCCCGCTGGCGTGCCTCCAAGAGCACTGGCTGAGAGTGCAGAGGGAGGGTGCTCCAAAGCCGGAGCACTTTCCCGAGGTTGGAGCTGGACCTCCAAATTTCCCTATGGTTATCTAGATGATGACTAACAGTGATTAGGTTGCATCCTTAACAATAGTAACACTGTGTGCCGTTCATGCATCACACAGACATTTGGTATTATACTGTTCTTTTACTTTGTATAGATATGAACTCACTTTGGCTACTTGAACCATGTTATTTGAAAGCTCTTCTATCTCATCTTCACTGTCAAACACACTCTCGAAGTCTTGGAAAGTCCATCCTTCAAACAAAATCCGCGGTGCTAAGGATATTTTAACAAGAGAAGAACATTTCTATTTATCCAAGTTTTGCGTAAACAGCTTACTTATTTCTATGCACTCTATTTAAATACAAGATGATATGAAGGGGGACACCTAAAGCAGAGGAGAGGAGAGGAGAGGAGAGGTTTACATTTATACTGTACTGGAAAATGAATACAATTTAATAAACTGTTACTAGGGAAAGAGAGCAATAGGACAAGAAATAGCCATTGAATCTTCTATGGTGTTAAAAGAATTGCTTGTTTTACTACAGCATCATGAAACCTTGCTTTGACGATTATACTCCATTCCTTCTTCCACCTCCTACTACTATTTTCATATTTATGTTCCAGTCTAAACGTAGGCCTTTTCTTCATCCATATAGCAAAATTATGGCAAACACACACCTCCTTCCACCACACTTAGCATTTGACGTTGACCTCCATATGGCAGCCCATATGCACAGAGGTGAAGAATGGCATAATTCTTACCAGGTGTGGTGAGGGGGACAATAACTAAGCAATTTAAAGAACATTTCCATGCATGTATAGACCAAAAAAGGTCTGCAGCTTCCAACATGCTTCAGTCAACATGGCTGACTTGGGCATGCTGAAACAAGCAGCCCTTATAATCTTATGCAAGTTTAGAAAGTATCTCCAGTCCTATGTATATGCAGAGCCCCCACATCACAAGAGCTAAGGAAGGATACTTTGCTCTCCCATTTGTCCATTACAGGAACTGGATCCTTGTTCAGGATAAACATTTATTTTTTATTTTTCGATGTATATCCTGCCTTTTTCCCGCAACGGGCTCAAGGCAGCTTATATCATTCTCCTCCTCCATCTTATCCCCACAACAACCCTGGGAGGTAGGTTGGGCTGAGAGTCTGTGACTGGCCCAAAGTCACCCAGTTGCCTCCATGGCTGAGCGGGGACTAGAACCCAGATCGTCTGAGTCCCAGTCCCTCACTCTTAACCACTACACCACACTGGCTCTCAGTGGTAAACATCTGAACCAAGCCTTAGAGGATCATGCAAAATGTGTTATATGTAACTCATCAGAAGAGAATATGATTTTCCGATTGTGCCAGAGAGTCATGAAAGTCTGATAACTTCACTTTAAAGATCTGCCCAACAGGGGGCACCAGCTGGGTCATCATTCTCTGTAATGTTCAGCCATGGCAGCCTGGGGCCTATCCGTGAAGAAGCAATGGATTCAAGGAGGTAAGAAAGAGACACAGGTGGCATTTTCCCTCCCAGGTCCACTAGACCACTCTGAATAAACTGTTACTGTGACATGCTGGGAATATATTGCAACATTTTGTTGTGAGGCTCCACTATTCTGCAACCACAAATACAGCAGTGCAACAGATCTAACCTGCCATCCTAGAAACACTTACCTGGGAGTAAACCCCAGTGTTCTTAATGGGGTAAATTCCCTGTAGCAATACTTGTGTTTTTGGAACCCACTGCTAGCCATTACAAAAAAATGAATAATTTTGCCAGTGGCTGAGCATCAGAGCCCAGAATAACAAATGGAAGTATTTATGAACTGGCAATTTACACAAATAAAACTTACATGTGATCAGAAATGGATAAAACCTCAACATCCTCGTTTCCATGTTAAGTAACGAGAACGTCGGAGTAGTCAGAGCAAATGCCACTTTAGTTCTACATGATGTTTCCCATAGCATAGGTATCCATACACCTACAGGAAGCCCACAAGCTGAATGTGAGGCAATAAAGATGAGCAGGTAGCATGGAGTGAGATCTAGGATATGACAAGCTGCTTCCATCTCAAATATGAAACTTTCATTCTAAAATCACCTATTTTGATGTTTTTAGCATTCTTCTTGACTTCCTTCATCCAACCTGTTAGTAGATAAAGTAAGAAGATTAAAGCAGGAATGAGTCAAATCCCAAACAGCCACATCTTCAAACGCAGCTATGCCTTTTAAGGTTCTTCCACTTTTTGCCCACCAAAATAGTAATGCCTAGATGGGGCAACGGGGCATCCCCCAGAGGTCTTGGCCTACAATTCCCATGATCCCTGATGATTGGCCAGGCTGGCTGGGGCTAAAGGTCCAGAACATCTGGAGAGAGCGCCAGGTTGCCTATCTCTGGGGCTATTATTCCGAAACCTATTGCTGTATACTAGCAGAGATGTATGAATTGCTAAGTCCAGCACCAAGCAATTCACATGCACTCCACTTAGTACTTTTTTCTTTTTGGCTTTGGGCTGAGTCGAGACGGCACACACTTATCATAACGATGCTTTGGAATAATTCAAGGCAGCAAGCATATGAACAGTCCTTACTGTGAGGCACCAGCCTGCAAGCCTTGGATATGACTTGGCCCATGTACATCCACTGACAGATTTGTTGCAGTTAACTGCAAGCAGTAATTATTCCACATGCAAGGTCCTGTGACCTGAACAGCAGCCTGAAACAGATGGCTGTGTCTGTGCGGCCCATAGCAAGGGAAGCTCATCATTTTCAACTCATGCATGTTCTCAGGAGGCACTCCTATATCTTGCAAAAGAGACTTTACGTGATTGTGCTATTTTGTCTACAGACCTTGATAACCTTGGCCCAATTTTGTAAATGTTAGAGAATTCAGAGATATGTTTGATGTCACTTTTCACCCCCATATGCCTAAGCAAACAAGTCCCACTAACAGAAACTCAGGTGGTTTGGGTCCGACAAAGCTGGAGCCAAAGAGCAAAGACTGAGAAACAAGAGTAAGGCATCAACATGGATAAACCAACAAAATAATAAGTGCATGAATGCTCAGAACAGCCCAGTAAGAACTGAAAACAACCACTAGCCTTCAGGAATCACAGATCTTTGAGTGTTAGTTGGAAAATTTAAAATGAAAACTGTTTGAGCCCTTTACAGCTCCTAATATCCTGAAGCAGGGCATAACTGGCTAGCACCCTGTACAGGAAATTATCCTGACTGGAAATAAGGTAGCACAGTAACATTTTGCAGCTGGTCCTACTTGTAGTCTGGTTCAAACCATATCCGAATTCATGGATGGTGAGATTTCACACTATGTTAAGGTCACCATGAATTTTCATGGTAATGTATATTCTTGTACACAAACAGCTCTTTCACCTTCACTGTCTACATTCCATCTGATGAAGATGGGTGTGATCCACAAAAATTCAAACCACAACACATGTGTTTTAATTGTTAGGATACCAGAAAACCTTATCTTGCTTATGCATGAATTTGGCAAGGGACTTATAACTGTTAGTTCAAGGAAGCAGGCTGGATCATGCAGTCACTGCCAAACACATGCAGTCACTGCCAAACACATGCAGTCACTGCCAAATTTGCTGCCACTCTGGATTCTGTCACTAATAGCTCTCCATAAGCAAAAGCATTTGACTGTACATCTCAGCATTTCTACACAAAGCATGCAAATGTTGCAAAGTCAAATTGCCAAAGTGCTAGAAGCAGTACAAAAGCACTTAGGTAATCAAGCAATGGAGAACCAACACAAAATGCATACTTTGGTCAGCATCATGAAGTCCTGTGAACTGAAACTTCTCCTTGCCCCGTCTCTTCACCTGCAGCCAAACTGGTGAGATAGTTGTAAACTTGCTTCCAAATATTTTAGCAATGTCATAGCCATGGTTGTTCCACTAGCAGAGGGACAAAGAATGTGGATTAGGACAAGGGCCATCTCAGACGGTTGTTTACACACTTGAATTATCTGTAGGAAAGACATAAGGCACCAACTTCTCCATGCTTGGGGGGAAAGAAGACCTACAGCTTTTGTTCCAACCCAAAGGCATGCTGAAAGTTGTAGGGTTCTTTTCTGTCTAAACAATGCATAGAGTTGTGCCCTAAACTAATATTCCCAATTCTAGTTTAGGAGTTACATTCTCAAATTTTACATTTTCAAAACAGCCCATATCTCTACAAGGGCACCCAGCATTCTTTTAACAGGTTGCATCTCCACAGTTCAGTCACTCAGTACTTACAGGAGTAATGTAGCCCAGAACATCTCCTAAGAAGTATCGCTCTTGGGCTTTTTTAGCACAGTAGCTTTTGTGTTCCAAGATGATCTCCTTTGCCTTTGAATCGGTAACTACCAGGCCACGATCTTGCACTGTTTTACCAGAATGGTAAGTCTGCCAACAAACAATTATTTTAGAATTTAGCATACAGGATTCATTGACACAAATTACAATGACAGGTATTAATTTAGGCAGGAATTAAAAAGTAATATAAGAAAAGGTTTAAAACATGTTAAACAAAGAACACTCCTCAAAAAACAATTAGGCATGGAGGCTAAAGAAAATCTCCATGTTAAGAAATACTGTACTTCTTTTTTTAAAAAAGATTGGGATGGGTGGGTGAACCATGGGGAGAACTCTAATCATAGAACAGTAGAGCTGTAAGAAGCCATGAAGGCCATTGGGTCCAACCCCCTGCTGTTGTAGGACACCAATTTACACCATCCCACTCAGATGGCTGTCCAGTTCCATCCTGAATGACTCTAGTGCAGGAGAGCCCACCACCTCTCTAGGCAGCTTGTTCCATGGTCGTATTGCTCTGACAGTGAGGAAAATTTTCCTGATGTCTAGCCTGAATCTGGGTTGCTGCAGCTTGACTTCATTATTCTGTGTCCTGCACTCTGGTATCAGCAAGAAGAGACCTTGCCTTATGCCCTCTTTCTGCACTTCCCAGAAATATTTGGTTAGCCTTTGTTAGAAACACAATGTATGAGTACTCTCAGTAGCCCAGCCTTCCCGAACTTAATGCCATCCAGTTATTTTGTATTTCAACTCTCCCAGAACAACCCAGTATAGACAATGACCAGGAATGCTGGAAGTTTTAATTCAAAGTATCTGAAGACAATAAGCCAGTGTGGTGTAGTGGTTAAGAGCATGGGACTGGGGCTCAGGCGATCTGGGTTCTAGTCCCTGCTCAGCCATGGAGCCAACTGGGTGACTTTGGGCCAGTCACAGACTCTCAGCCCAACCTACCTCACAGGGTTGTTGTTGTGGGGATAAGATGGAGGAGGAGATGTAAGCTGCCTTGAGCCTTTGTAGGAAAAAGGCAGGATATAAATCAATTAAATAAATAAATAAATTATAAGCTATGAGAGGCTGCACTAGATGTGTCTTTGATTCAATCCAGAAGTCTCTTCTTATGTTCTTGTATTATTATTTTACAGCTACTGAGTAATAACGATTCCAGATATTCTGTATAAAAGAAAATAAATTAATGCAACTGAAGAGGAACTCAATGATGCTGTTATTGGAAATGCCATCATGCACTGCTACTTTTCACATTTCCCCATGCAGAAGGTTTGCTGGCAGAAACCTCCATTTGAACATAACCTCAAGTACATTGGGCTGGATTTAGAAGGGCTTTTCTTAGATCAGAATGGCTCCTTCCATTTATAGAAGGCATTATTATCCAACAGAGACTACTTGTTAGAGAAAGTGGGCATGGAAGCAATCTTTGCAAGTTCTGCCTTTTCCTTAAGAACCTAAGAACATTAGAAAAACCATGATGGAGCAAAGCCACTGGTCCATCAAGTCCAGTGGCAAACCAGCTGCCCAGAGGATCCCTCAAGCAATGGGCATACACAGGCACATGGCCTCTGGCAACTGAAGTAGCACATCATCAGCAAGGTTAGTAGCCTTCTCCATGAATTTGTCCAATCCCTTTTGAAAACATCAGATTGGTGGCCATCAGGATTTCCTGTGCCAATAAATTTTATAATTTATTATAAAATTTATTATTAAATTTTATACTGTGTGAGGAAGTACTTCTTTTTATCAGTCCTGAATCTCCCACCAGTCAGTTTCATTTGGAGATGAGCAGCTTGCTTACCTGTAACTGATGTTCTTCGAGTGGCCATCTGTGCAGTCACACATATGGGTTCAGTACCTGCGCAGTGCCTTTGGCCGGAAGATTAACAGCTAATGGTTTTTGGCGGGAACTCCGCTCCCCCTCCCCGCTAGCATTATATAAGGAGCGGAGTGTCCGCCATTTTCCAGTCTTTGAAAGACCAACGTTTGTTCTTATAATAAGGTTTGTAAGTATGACAAGATAGCCAAATTCAGTAGTGGTACGACACATAGCAAAGAGATCATAGTATCGAAAGAAATAGTCGGACCACCCATGACACCAAGCGGGGTTGGAGGGTGGGTTGTGTGACTGCACAGATGGCCACTCAGTAACTGCATCAGTTACAGGTAAGCAACCTGCTCTTCTTCGTCGTGGCCTCTGTGCATCACACATATGGGTAGAATAACAAGCTTGCCCCAAATGGAGGAGGGAGGTGTCATCAGCGAAGGACAGAAGAAAGGACAGCTCTGCCAAAAGAGCAATCCTGCCTGGCATGGACATCGAGTCTATAATGTCTGGCGAAGGTACACGGGGTAGCCCAAATGGCTGCCCTGCACACATCTTCTATCGGGACCCCTGATGCAAAGGCCGAAGAAGCAGCAACAGCTCTTGTAGAATGGCCTCTTGGAGTAGATGGCAAGTCCAACTTAGCTAACTAATAAGACAGGACAATTGTATTTACTATCCATTTCGAAAGACGTTGTGAAGTGACTGGACAGGCTCGGTCATGTTCCGAATATTTCACAAAACGTCTATTGGAATGCCAAACAGACTCAGTCCTGGACCTATAAAAGGCTAAGCAACGACGAACGTCCAGCATATGTAGAGATCGCTCTATTGGATTCGAAGGGGTCGGAAAGAATGCCGGTAAAACAATCTCCTGTTGCATGTGAAACGAAGTAGCGACTTTCGGAAGGAAAGACGGATCCAGCCGAAGAACCACTTTTTCCATATGAAAATTTAGAAAAGGGGGGTCTACCCGAAGGGCGCAAAGTTCAGAGGATCTACAGGCTGAAGTCACTGCAACAAGGAAGGCAGTCTTCCATGAAGCAAGGCGTAGATCGATCGTCGCCATGGGTTCGAAAGGTGATCAAGTCAGCGCTTGTAAAACCACCAAAAGACTCCAGGTGGGCACTAGAGGTCTTATAGCTGGATGCAGATTACTCAATCTTCTCAAAAATCTTTTAATCAGAGGTTGAGCAAAAATGGAGAGACCATGTATAGTTCCCCGGTAATGTGAAATCGCTGCTGTATAAACTTTTATGGACGAAGGTTTGAGTCCAGACTGATGCAATTCAAAGAGAAACTGAAGTGTCTGTGAAACAGAAGCCAAGGGGGCCAGAAACAAGTGTAAATTGGCAAAGTTAGAGAATCTCTGCCATTTTGCCGTGTACGACTTCCGAGTAGATGGTTGTAGTGCAGATTCGAGAATATACTGTAGGTCTGGGTGTAGACTCTGCTGAGCAGGAATGGCCGGGACGGTTGGTGGTGTCGATACCGATGTATCGCAGCTGGTCATCGTATCCTCCATGCAGTCAGTTTCAGCGACAGCAAGTCTGGGTGGCGGATCGTGCCCTCCCTCTGGGTAACGAGATAAGGAAGAAGAGGGAGTTGGAGAAATTCTTCTTGGGAGACGTGAAGGAGAGTTGAGAACCATGGCTGGCGTGGCCACCAGGGGGTGATCAGTACCCCTGTGGCCCCTTCGTGAATGATCTTTGCCAACACTCTCATGATGAGTGGGATTGGAGGGAAAGCATAAAGTCATATTTGTCCAGGGGATCATGAAAGCATCCCTGAGCGAGTCCTGACCCATCCCTGCTCTGGAACAATAGGCCGTGCATGCCCTGTTCTGTTGTGTGGCAAACAGTCGATGTCTGGCTGGCCCCATCGGTGAAATAGCATGTCGCGAACCCGATGGTCTAGCTCCTATTCGTGTGACCGCGACATATGTCTGCTCAAGAGATCCGCGTCTGTATTTTCTGTGCCCGCAAGGTGAACTGCTAGAAGAGTGATACCTCTCAGTATGCACCAGTCCCGAATCTGCATGGCCAGGTGGGCAAGTTTCCGGGATCGGGTTCCCCCTTGTTTGGTCAAATAAAAGACTGTCGCCATGTTGTCTGAGGTCACCTGGACGACCTGGTGTAGAAGCACATCCTCGAATGATTGCAGGGCTTTGAAAACGGCAAGAAGTTCTAGAAAATTGATATGGTTCCTGCAATCCCGATGACTCCATATCCCTTGGGTACGTAGATCAGAACAGATTGCTCCCCATCCCAGTAGAGACGCATCGGTACCAAGGGTTATTGTAGGGTACCGGAGTCGGAATGGAACGCCTACGGTTAGATTGGCTGGGTCTATCCACCATAACAGGGACTGAAGAATGGAAGCCGGGAGTCGAATCCGTTTGGTAGGTGGATCTGTCTGTGGTCGAAACATTCCGTTGAAGAACAGCTGAAGGGGACGTAGCCTGAGTTTGGCATGTGGAACCACAGCAATGGAAGCAGACATGTGTCCCAACAGGCTCTGAATAGACCGGGCGGGGACGGTTCTTGCTTGTCGAATCCGAGCGATGCACTGAGCAATCGCATGCCGTCTGTCCCGAGGAAGGAAGGCTCTTGCCAACGTCAAATCCAGTCGGGCTCCGATAAAGTTGATCACCTGCGTAGGGAGAAGGGAAGATTTCTGTTGATTAATACAGAGTCCGAGATCGTGCAATAGAGCACATGTAAACTCAACAGCAGACGAAAGTCCTGCTTCTGTGTCGGAGACCAGCAACCAATCATCAAGGTACGGGTATATCCGAATTCCACGTAATCGAAGGTGTGCACAGACAGGAGCCATACACTTCGTAAAAACCCGTGGTGCAGTGGCTAATCCAAACAGTAGCACATTGAATTCATAGATTTCAGAGTCCACTGTAAAACGAAGGAAACGCCTATAACTTGGATGTATTGAAATATGAAAATAGGCATCCTTCAGATCCAATGAGGCGAACCAATCCCCTCTTCCCAGCAACAGGAGAATACTTTGAAGTATGGTCATCTGAAACTTCTTTGGTGTTATGACTCTATTGAGAGCTCTCAAGTCCAATATTGGTCTGAGACCCCATCTCGTTTCGGGACTGTAAAGTATCTGGAATAGAACCCGTGGAATCCCTCCGATAACGACAGGCGACGAATAGCTCTTTTAGCAAGGAGTTGGTGAATCTCGTCTAACAGTACCAAGGAAGTCGGAGTATAGCGGATAGGATTCAGTGATGGCACAACGTCAAATTCGATTCCATATCCGTGCTGAATGATAGATAACACCCACCCATCAGATGTGATGGACTCCCAAATGGAGAGCCGACTCTTCAGTTGATCCCCAAATGAGAGGGGAGAGGGGAGAGTTGGAATGAGAGGAGAGGTTTGCTCGTCGCATCAGCGCTGTCGCCTGTCCGTATCAAAGTGGTGGCGGCCCTGTTGGAAGCACTGGGCTGGTTGTTGCCTGCGACGCTGCTGACGTTGATGCGGTTGCTGTTGCCGAGGCGGAAATTGTTGATGGTACTGTGGACGTGACCATGACCACTTACGTCGGGGTAGAGATTGCAGTTCCATACAACAGGCCGTCATCCTTGATTCATGGATTTTCTTCAATTTGCTATCCGTCCTCGCATGGAAGAGACCGGAACCGTCGAATGGCATCTCCTCAATTCTCCGCTTCATCTCGTCCGGTAAAATTGCAATAACGCAACCGGGCGTGTCTGCGGAGGGAAATAGCACTGACCAGCGACCTCGAATCAGAGTCCATGTGGGGCCTCGCAGTGGAAGGCTGTTGCACTGCCACTTGCATAGTTTCCTTAACAAAAGTCTTAGTAAGTTCGCCCTGGTTTCTCGGGAGGGTATCGATGATGGCATCCAGGCGTTACATAAGGAAATACTGGTAATGTGCCAGGGTTGCCTCATAATTAGGTATTCGTAAACCAAGGCCAGAAACTGCGTATACCCGGCAGCCAAGGGAATCAACCTTTCTGCCCTCTTTGTCACGAGGCGAGGTGTGTCCACGGGCTCCTGACCCTGCGAGGATTCTACAACAACCGAATTCGGCTTGGGGTGACGGAGAAGGAATGGGATGTCCTCTTCCCGCACCCAATGCATGGACTCGTATTTACGAGAAGTCGGTTGTGGGTGAGCTGGGAGGTCCCATGGCTGGGTCATTGCCTGCCGTAAGGTCATAATAAATGGCAAGGCAATAGATGTGGATCGTTCGCCCCTGACCACATCATAAAAACGATCGGTGCTCGGTCCCGGCTGTTGGTGGGCTCCTATATCGAGTGATCTCACTAGTCTGGCCATCAGATCGTTAAACGATATATACGGTTCCTCGCGCGACCCCAGGCCCTGAGAAGCAACTGCTGCATCTGGCGAGGTCGAGTCAGCCTCAGACTCGTCGGATTCCATCCAGTAGGGGGGTGGTACACTGGAGGAAGAATCTCCTGGTGACTCTGATCTGCCACTTTCTTTAGATGGGGCCCTCGGGGTGTCTCTGGGCGTTGAATGGAAACGTTCCCGAGGTGCTGGTGGTGAAGATTGTCCCCTGGAGGTCGGATAATAGGCTACGGAGTGGTACTCTTCCCATCTCGGAGCAGAGGAGTACCTGGAGTGGTACCAATCGTCAGACCTCACATCCGAGGAACGGCTCCTACGGCTTCTCGGAGGGAAGATGGCGATCTCAGTATCCATCGGGATTGGAGGCATCGGGGTTGGTGATCGAGCTCTAGGTGGAGAATCTCGTATTTCCCCATCAGAGATGGAACCACGCCTTGAATCCAGAATGGGTTCAGCTGTCGGTCGGCGTGGTGAGCCCGGTGGGGTAACCCTCATAGCCGCCTGGATGGTCAGGACTGAGGGGGCCAGTTCCGAAGCAGGGATCGTAATCGAGGAAGAGGCCGAGCCCGAGTGGCGGTGTTTTGCCTGTTCGGGGTTCTTCGGCTTCTTAACCGGCTTTCCTGTCTTATCTTTCTTGGCCTTCTTATGCACAGGATATTTATCTGAGTCGCTGTGCTTTCTTTTTGCCTTTTGTTTCCTCGGCAGGGAAACAGACTGGTCGGCCATGGTATGAGCGCCTTCTTTGGAAGGGCGTGGGGCAGAGCAATGGAGCAAGAGGCCGGGCGTTGCGGCAGGTCAGCCAAAGTTGGATGGCCTTCGGGTGGGGCCACAACAGTGGAAGGCTTAGCCACCAGCCGGTCCGATTAGAGGAGAGCCTGGTCCCATAAGAGTTTGCGGAGGCGGTTCCCCCTGTTCTTCCTCGCCTGTTTAGAGAAGGCCAAACAATGGCCGCACTTATCGGTTCTGTGCCCTTCCCCCAAACAAAGGAGGCACAGATCATGCGGGTCCGCGGCGGGCATTTTGGAGCCGCATTTTCCGCACTTGCGGAACGCCGCCCGTTGCGCCATCGTAGAAAGAAGAAAAAAGGAGAGAGTAAAGCAGGAAAGTAATATTTTTGGTTTTTGGTTTTGTTTTTTTTTAGGAACGATAAAGAAGAAAAAATGGTGCAAAGTTAAAGAAATATAAGTGAAGTACTAACAACAAGAACAAGGGATACAAACTTGGTAGGAAAAAGGAGAGATTTTCGAATGAGCAAGAAGGTAAGTAATAATCTTAGCGAGAGCGAAGCGGCACGAGGCACAATGAACGGCGGTCGCAAAGACTGGAAAATGGCGGACACTCCACTCCTTATATAATGCTAGGGGGGAGGGGAGTGGAGTTCCCGCCAAAAACCATTAGCTGTTAATCTTCCGGCCAAAGGCACTGCACAGGCACAGAACCCATATGTGTGATGCACAGAGGCCACGACGAAGAACCCAGGTTCCAACATTATGGAGAGATTTTTCTCCCTCTCTTTCTCCATAGCATGCATACTTCTAAATACCTCTTATCATGTTTTGCCTGATGTGGCTCTTTTCTAAGCTAAACAATCCCAGTTGTTTTAACTGTTCATCATAGGGAAGTTGCTCTTATCATTTTAGTCTCCCCTCTCTGCACTTTTTCCAATTCAGAAATGTGCTTTTTCAGGTGCAGTGACCAGAAATGAAACAGCATTCTAAATGAGGTCACAGCAAAGATTTGAATAACTGGAGATAATACTGGCAATGTTATTTTCAATTCCCTTCATAATTATGCCTAACACAGAGTTTGCCTTTTTCCCAGCAACTGTGCACTGGGGTTGACATTTTCGTCAAGCTGTCTAGCCCCAGCCAAAGACCCCTTTCTTGCCTTGTCCCTGTTTGCTCCTCATCAGTCTATAGCTGAATTGGGGCACTTTTGCCCTAAATTGCATTGTTTTACACTTGTTTACAATAAACATTGTCATTCAACGGCCCATTCTCCCAGCTTGGAGAGATCCCCTTCGAGTGCCTCACAGTCCCTTTTGGTTTTGACCACCCCCAACAATTTAGTGTCATCAACAAACTTGGCTGCTTTATGGCTTATTCCTTGTATTGTGCCTCATGCCGCTGCTGAAGGATCGCCACCCCCCCTCCCCCAGCAAACACACACACCTTCCAGAACAACTTTCCAGGAGCTCCAGGGTGCTAGGACAATTGTGAATAGCCCCCTCCTCCAATGAAAGCAGAACCCTACCAAGCTCTGATCTGGATCCAACCCAATGGCCTTTTAAGAGGTTATTAAAATAATTCTTGTTTTACATGCTGGCAAGACTAAAGCATTCTGCTGAGGCAAGTGAGCAACTCTGAGAGAGACACAGATGTGTGAGTCTTCCCTATTTCCAGTTTGAATAACCTGCTAAATGACTGCTGAATCACAGCTTTTGCAGCTCATTTGTGGCTTGAGCTGTCAAGGCTGACAACAACTACCCTAAAACGAATCCTCTGCAGGTCAAACTGACATTCAAGGCCATAATGCACCACAGACATTTTCCTGCAAGTCAGTTCCAAGAAGAATCTTGCATGAATCCCTGGTGAAGTGGATGATATGCGATGGACATACGGAAAACTGTTTAGGCTCCGGCACACAGGAGGGGATGCTGCAGTTGCTAGGGACGACAACATCACTCATCTGGGATCTCAGCCCCTAGGCCAACATCCCTCAACCTGATTGTGCAGCAGGGGAAACAGTTTACTAAAGGCACGATCCTGTGCATCTTTAAACAGGAACAAGTCGTATAAACACCAGCATGCCCTAGCCAGAATGGCTGCTTGGACACGCTGAGACTTGCAGGACTTGGGGTTTGGTCTAAACATTCCTGAGATTGCACCCTTAATGATCACCTACCTTCTCCTAGATACTTTCCACTGTTCAATGGTGGTTCAGTATCCTGCTACCTGCTGCCTCCACCAGATTTAGCAGGTAACAGCCCAAGACCTTCTAGGCCAGCCTCTCCTCACCTGACACCAGCCAGGTGTGTTGGACTACAAGTCCCATCATGTTCGGTCAATCAGGGTGGCAGGAAACACTGGTAGAGAAGGATTATAGTACTACACGTCTGGAAAACGGCAGATTAATAAATGTCTTCTCTGGTGCAATCCTCTTTATTTTTGCAATGTTTATACATAGTATTTTATCATGTGGTCTTCTATGGTTTTAATGGTTATCAACGGCCCTAGAGAGGTTTGGACATTGGGGGGTATTGGAAAATGATAAACAAATAAATAAATACTCAACAAACTCTTCATACTACCTGAGCATATTTGCTTTACAGAGGTATCTGCTTTGAAAGAAGGAAGGCAGTTGTGAAATGAATGGATTTCTGTTAGGCACTCTGTACAGAGGCAAAGGAAGCACTAGCAGGGCAAAGTACAAAACTCCCACAGTAACTGATAAGAATTGTCACTGGTCAGAGATGAATGCCAGATAACCAGGCATGCTCACCTACCTTTTCCTCCAGTGTTTTTGAGGCAGCTTTTTTTGCATCTGTTTTTGACAGTGTTGCGTCAACCATCTGGGAAGCCAGGATAAAAACGAGAAGGCTAGTGTAGCTGTGTCTCATGGCAGCTTTTGCTCTTCCAATCCCTTGTAATTTCTGCAGTCAGGGAAGACAACCACCAATGTTTGTTGAACAACCAAAGTGAACAACCAACTAAAGATTAATTAAATTAGCCGCTGTCAGCAGTAAGAGTGAAGGGGGATAAAAGCTCAATGAAAGAGCTTGAGTTTTGCACCCCAGGCATCTCCAGTTAGAACAGAAGTGTTGAATGTCATTCTGAGAGCCCAATTCCATTTCAAAGGAGCTCTCCAGGGCTACTTTCCAGTGGGACCAAAATCCAAAAGGGTGGAGCCAAAAATCCCAGCATATTTTTTGCTAAAATCTGAATGCTCTTACTGCTGGTAACTACATCGTGGAAAGGGCATTTCAGCTGTTCAAAACAGGGAGAAAACCTGTGCAAATGCCAGAAAACCATCAAACAATTGGCAGTTTGGCAGAAGGTGTCAAGGTCACTTGGGGGAACCATGGAAAATTGAACAAAGTCCCAAAGCAGGCTAGATTTTGCTCTCAGGTCTGAGTTTCAACACTTCTGCTTTAACTGATCTAGACTGGGGAAGACCACTGCCACACAAAGTAGAGCAAGCATGGGCAATCTGTGGTGTTCCAGATGTTATTTATTTATTTATTTATTTATATTTTATTTATAAGAGGAGAGTCAGAATTCTTGGTTGACATATCAACACCAACAACCCCCAAGATAAGCCAAGTGGCTGGTGAGAACCAGACCACATCCGGTTCAGGGGGAGAAACTGATCAACAGGCAGGGCCAGAAGAGCAGAGGTATAATTTAACAGGTCTGATTGTCCAAGGGCAGCTCAACTGAACTGTCCAATTGAGTGACATTCAGTGTTCCCACCATCTAGGAACTGCTTGACCTGAGCCGTACTTTCTCTCTCTCATTAGCTGGCTCTTTTACTGTATTGACTGTCTTTTGCTAACAACCTCTGCAATCTTCCTGCTGTATCTCCAGGCCAGTCAGGCTGGTCCATTTTATGTCCATAAAGTCTGCAGTTAGCATCCTTTTGTCTGGTTGAAGGGCAAAGGAGAGAGAAAGAGACACCAGCTGATGTCATGGGGGACCACAAGTTGCCTGCCTGGAGTAGACAGCACAAGAGTCACTAGCACAGTATGGTGACATCCTTTCTGTATTCATAATTTAAGTGGTAGCTGATAGCAAAAAATCCACAGTTGCTATCACTGAGAAAAATATGCTTGCCTACAACTCTTCTGTGGTTGAAGTAATCCATATCCCCAACAACAACAGTGACAGAACAGCTTGATTTCTATAAAAAAGGTAAAGGTTTCCCCTTGACATTAAGTCCAGTCATGCCTGATTCTAGGGGGCGCTGCTCATTTCCGTTTCCTAGCCGAGGGAGCCAGTGTTTGTCCGCAGACAGTCTCCGTGGTCATGTGGCCGGCATGACTAAACAATGAAGTGCATGGAACACTGTTACCTGCCCACCGAAGTGGTACCTTTTTAATCTACTTGCATTTTTATTTATTTAAAGTTTTTTGTTTGCTGTCCCCTTGCTATATAGCCTCAGGACAGCTCACACAAATAAATAAATATAATATTAATACAGTTAAAACCCAGAAACACCCCGGCTGCACAATTAAAACCTATAAATATTAAACATTGTTAAAATATTGTTTGAATAAAAAGGTCTTAGCCTGGCGCAGAAAAACAAATAATGACGGCGCCAGGCGGACCTCTCTAGGGAGCACATTCCACAGATGGGGCACCACAGTAGAGAAAGCCCTCCTCCGAGTACTTTGTCTCCTAATGTCTCTCACAGAGGGCTCCCGGAGGAGGGCCTCTGCTGCCAATCTCAAGGGGTGGGAGGGCAAATACGGATCTGCATGCGGAAAGCATTTGCATGCTTTCAAACTGCAAGGTTGGCAGGAGCTGGGACAGAGCAACAGGAACTCACCCCGTTGTGCAGATTCAAACCGGCAACCTTTTGATCAACCAGCCCAGCAGCACAGCGGTTTAAACCACTGCACCACCTGCAGTCCCTAATGATTTCTATAGGGAAACACCAATCAAGAAAGACTGTGGGATTATCATTTATACCAGGGGTTTCCAAACTGGGGTACCCGCACCCCCAGGGGTGCAAGATGGCATTTTGGGGGTACAACGAAAAGACTGCATTGCAATTTGCCAAAACTGGTGAAATGTGACATTTTTCTCCAAAAATTATCCCAATAATTTGGCTAACTGTTCAATTTATATTTGAATTTTATGCACAGAGTTAAAAGCTTTTTTAAGCTCAATTTGTTCACCCACAGTACTGTATGTGCTTCAAAAATCAGAAAAGTGGCTTCATCTTCAAATCTGACATTACTTTTGTAGGGAGTGTGAACACAAATCAAACATTTTCTAGGGCTGTGGGAAAATGGGGAAAAGCTTGGGAACCACTGACTTATACTAAATTAACAACTGAATAACATGTTTCTAATGCAGAATTATTAAGATATATTATTGCAGATGGTTGCAATATTCATCCTACTTCCAAAATATTTCCTTTTTAATTTATCCAAGGCAAATTTGGTCCTGTTTGAGTAAATATATGGAGGCCATAAGTCTAGGAATGCTGAGGCCATCCTTAATGTATGTAACATTAGCCTGAGAAGTAAATTCCTCTGCTCTTTAGCACATAACTAATAAATAAAAAAGCTTGCTTCAATCACAAATTATCTTCCTAGCTCTCCATTTGCCAAATATATTAGCTCTGACATCCTTCGCAAACACCTTCATCACAATTCAATTCAAAAAACAAAGTTATAAGAAATGATCAGAGCCACCATTGCTTGCAGTCAAAACCAGCCTGCATAAGGACACAAATGTTCAGCTACAATATCAAAAACATCTTTGAAGCTCTCTTGCACATATAAGTGTATTTTCATTTGTGGCAGCTAAAGCATGGAAAATTCATTTTTTTTGATCCAGTATACATTCTAGCCAGTGTATGTGTTATATTTGCATCAGGGATGCTAGACATACATTCAACACTTTTCAGGTTTTATCTCACAGATCCAGGTGTTTCAGATGAGCTTTCCTGGAAGAATGGTGAAGGGGTTATTAAGGCTCAACAAACAGTTAACCTCCCTGATGTCCATAAGCCAAGATAATTTCTTGGAGCCATGCCAAGCCTGAGGGCCTTCAGCTTGTTAGGAAGAGCATCAAAGATAATGGCCTTGAAGCTGTTCCCCAAATATATTCCTTACGTAAGAGTATAAGAACTGAAACTGTGTTGCTGAAGCAGCTTCATCTCTGCCTGCTCTCCCATGAGGTGGGGTAGAGCCTGTATATCCTGACAGCTTCTGAAACATCGGGAGAGGGAAATTTGATAAAATCCAGAGCAAGAGGCATTGCCTTTTTTTTCTGTGCTTGAGAAGAAGAATTGACACTTGGTTCACCCAAGCACCTTTCAAGATTCATGGAGCATCCCCTGGCCTCTTCAGGAAACCAGTACAGCCATAGATAAGAGAAGTATACGCTTTGTTTTGCCTGCTTACATTTGGCATCCCATGTTTTCTTATTGTAGTCAATAAACTTTATCATCTTTGACATAAGTAGTTTGGTTTCTTCCCAAGAATCCTCAGGTCTGATCCTTGGCCAGGGCAGGCCCTATATACTGATACTCCAGAAATGGTATCTAAAGGGATAAAACCTGAAAAGTGTTGTATGTCTAGCATCCCTGATGCAAATATAAAACATACACTGGCTAGAATGAATGGATCAAAAAATGAATTTTCCATGCTAACACAACAACAAAATTATCTCCTGGAAGGCACTATGCCTTTTGCAGTCCTTGGAAGTTCTACTGCAGCCAAGACTAAGACAGCAATTCTCTAGCCATTGGACAGCATCTAGGCAGCCCTAGGATTACTTAGACCCTAGCAAAGAGGTTGGAAATTGGCTATGGCTTTGCATCTGGTTAATGGAACTCTAGTCCCCTTGCAGCCAGCAAAATAAAAAAGAACTGCACCAGCTGGTTTTGAAGTCACAAGTGACCTGGCAGAAGGACTCTGGGGGCATAGGGGGACTGTGAGAAGACTGGCACTGACAAGATATAATGTATCCTGACGGTACCATAGCCTCTGTCCCTCCTGCTCTGAAGCATCTCAGGCAGCCAAAGGCAGCCACCTGTGTTTTGTGGGACTGCAACTTCATAGAGGCAACGGTCACCTCTGCATTCCTTCCAGTCTGCATGGAATGTCCAGAAAACGTTTGTAAAGTTGCAGGGAGCCTCACAGGAATACATCCTAACAGAGTTACTGCGGCATAAGCATTTGCAGCTCCAAGTCCCTGAAAGTTTATGCTGCATTAAATCTGTTACCCTTGAAGTTGCCACAAGATGCTATAACAGAATAATCCAACCAGCCCTCAGTTAAGTGTCATATACCATCTGAAGAAGGGGCCACAACCTCAATTCATCAGTCAAAGTGCCTGAAAACACATTTTGACTAAAAAGGTGCCATCTACCCCATCAGCAGGTGTTTGGAACAGATTTGATTACCTTTAATATAAGTACCTATAAACACAGTTGGTTTTAAGCACTATCCTAAAAGAGGCATTCACTCCTGTGCAGAGAAGGCACACATGCCCCTTCTAAAATGAAGGCTGCCAACAGACACAAGTGCATCATCTAGAATTAGCATTTTCTCATAGAGTGCTGTAATTGATTAAGGGTGTGATCCCAAGTGTGTTTAGATAGGGAAAAAAGTCCTGCAACTCTTAGTATTTTGCAGCCAGTCACAGATTTTGCTGGCTGGGGTATGTGGGAATTGTAAGATCTTTTTAATCCAAGCATGCATAGATCTGGCTCCCAACATACTAGAGCTAATAGCAGGTAGAACAATCCTAATCCCTAGAACTGCTGGCAGGCAGGCAGGCAGGCAGGCAGGCAATACGATGGAGCAGAGGCACTGCTCTGCCAGAAGAACAGAGCTCCACTGATGGTAGGGGCAGCCATATCTCCTCTGGAGTCCCAAATTGTACCTACAGGAAGCTCCTGGGCTTCATGACTGCTGCCAGCCCTGAAACTAGGCATTCTGGCAGTAAAGGTGGCTTTGGATTTGGCCTACTATGCCAGCCATTTGTTTCTGCAGGTGGGGAAAATTCCAAATAATGAAGATCCACCTGGCAGAATAAGCTGCCCCCACCTTGCTCCTGGCCAGCATGACAATTGTTTTCAGCTGACAACTACCCTGTCATTGACCAAGGTTTATTTAATTGAGTAACAGCTTTAATCTGATGGCTTAGTATTATTTCATACATCACCACAGAAACTCACTTCAGACTGCTGCCTAACATTTTCAGGATTTGAAATTATTAAAACACACACTCCACTGAAGGATAGAACAAAAGCTAATTGTTAACTGAAGTTTATAAACAGAGGGGAAGAGGATAGAGTTAGTTGACCAGAACAAATTACAATTATTTATATCCTGCCTTTTCATGTAACATGCTGATTAGAAATAGGAATAAAAAGACAAGAGATATTTTTCCCATCCATTTCCTTTTTTATATAATTCACAATAATTTGCATTCTGACATGAAGTTTTTTAAAACTAGTGTTCCATAAATATTCTTCAGTTACCCTTATGGCAAAGTCCGATGCATGTCTACTTTGAAGCAAAGCCTATCAAGCTGAATGTAACTTACTCCCAGGTATGTGGGTGCAGGACTGCAGCCTCAATTACTCTGTCACTGCACTCACCTGCTATCCTTACAGGTGAGGGTTCTGGGGAGAGAGCCTTGCTAGGCAACCATTCTACTTGTTCCATTCCTATCCCTGGTGTTTACCCAGAAGAAATCACAATTAAGTGCAACAGGACTTGCCTCCGAGTACACAACGTGTGAGAATGTGTCGTTACTCACTTTAGTGATTGTGAGTACCGAGCCAAGGGGGGCGAGTTCGGTGTAAGTCCCCCCCCCCCCCCAGACGCCTTGGCCTGTGTCTCTACGCAGCATGTCATCCAGGCTGGGAATGGTGGGCCCTATAGTCCTATATATGCGGAGCCCACCAGGCTGGGAAGAGCTAATGAGTACAGCACGTGCTTCGGGGATGCGGGGGGAGGTGCAGGTCGACCCAAGCAAAGGACAGCAGATGAGAGGTGACGTCAGGTATTGGCGAGGGGTGGCAGGGAAAATGAAGGCGACAGTCAACACAAGGGGAACACATGCCCCATATCCACCAGTTCTGACATCCGGTAAATATTAAAACACAACCCCTGCCCGGGAGATGGGGAGACACAATGGGACCGGGATAACAGGCAGGACACTCCTTTCTCTCTTTTGCCTATTATCCAGCAGCCAGAGACAAATATGGCTCAAGAACCGCCACACGCACGCACCATCCCGTTCAAACAATTTGCAGCACGTGTCAGCGGAGGTTTCTACTCCAGAGGGAGAGAGAAGACACGGGAAAGCCTGCGTGCTCTTGGAGATCCCCTCCCACCTTAGCGGAGACTCGTGCGTGAGCCCTCGTTTTCCCTCTGCAACCCGGATCTTCCTCAACTCGGAAGTGAAAGCCACGCTTTGGGAGCCAGGTGGCGCACGCCTCTTAAAGGAGCCGCGGGGGCCTCCTCAGCTGCAGGAGGAGAACTACGTCCCTCTTGAAACGACTGTTAAAGCGGCGGAGCTCCACCCCCGTGTCATCTTTTCTCAGGACTGCGATCGCAGGCGCGCGCACCCGGGGAACCAGGGCTGCTTCCAAATCAACGTGCTTAGGATCGGGGCGCACTAATCAGTCTCGGGCTGAGAGCAAGCGCTTGTACACACTCAGGGTTGCTGAAAGCAATGGGCACGTCTCCAACAGGATTGGGCCGCTGTCAGTTGCTACACCCAAGTTAGTTCCTTCGAGGAGTGTGAAGGGTTGCAACCAGAAAACGCGAAAGCCCGGTTATATATTTACTGAGAACCTAAGGAGAGCACTGCTGAATGGCACAAGGATACATCAAGCCCTACATTCTGCTCTCAGGGGAACCAAGCAGGAAACAATCGCAGGAGACGATCCAACCCTCCAGCCCACATCTCTCTGGAACTAGTGCACTTACGTACATATCCCTCTCTCACTGGAAGGCCTATTGATTTCACTGGGGTTAACTTGCAAAGTAAGCTACAACCCTAAACACAATTTCCTGGAAGTAATCCCCACTTAATTCCATGAAGCTTACGTCTGCATAGCTATGTGTAGGATGGCTCTGCAAGTATCCCAAAACAGACCATTTTTGAACATGAAGGTGGGTGCTTTCACATGAATATCTTCCAATGCCACGTGCCAAAAGACACTAGGCAGTTACGCTGCTTTTACTCCTTAATGGTTTTTTCTGGGTCGGGTTTTTGTTTCGGACAAAGCTTTGCTGGTACAACTGCCCCATCTCATTCACAGGTTTTAAACATACTCTTTCATGTGTAATTTGTCGTTTCCCCCTTTGTTCTGCCATAGTTTTTCTTACCACAGAAACTCCATTAATGGGGATAGCTGCAATGGTGTCTTTGGAATGTGACCTCTCTCTGATTTTAAGAAAAAGACAGAAGCAATGTGGAGAAAACAGGAGTATTGCAAACAGTGAGCAACAACATTCATGCTACCATACTGGTCTTCCACTAATACAACCACTGGATATTTCATAGCTGTGAAAGTTTGTCTTGACTAGGCACACTAAGTGGATTCAAGAAAAGGGAAGGACCCTGAACATGCAAAAAATCGATTTCCAACAAAAGTCTGAATGTCTTATTTAGGCTTTTCTAAGTAATCCCAATTTGATGTGCGACACACATATCTCATGTCTGCACACCTTACCCTGGAATTGTGCGTATGCCACACTAGTACAAAAGTAGAACTAAACGTGCTTCTTCCAATTCAACTCTTCTTGCAAAGTCAGCTTTTTAAGTTTTTACAGAGTGTGTCCGCCTAGCATTTATAACTGCAAATATAGCAAAATGGGTTTGCAGTTGGTCAAGATGATCATCCCTTCCATATCTGTTTCTGAAACAGATCAGTCCATGTGGGTGCAGTAGTGCAGTACCACTGGAGACCTGACAAAAGACAGTTTATGGCTGAGGACATTCTGGTGATGCGCTGTCCTTTATCCCACCAAAAGGCAAGAAGGCAAAGGTGCTGGGCAGCAATGACTCATCCGCACTAGGAAAGAGGTGTGTGTTGAAAGAGGTTCGTGTACATAGCTTGAAGTTCATGTATGCTGAAACTGGGTCTAAATGGCAGGGAGAATGTTGACTTTTTCTATAGGCTCTCCTAGAAATCTGATGCACTACATGAATCTGTTGGAATGCTAACTCTGAGACTATTAAACATGTATTCTGGGCTTCAAGAAAGCCAACTTTAACAGACTCAAAACAATGATAAGCCAAGTGCCATGGCAACTCACTCTTAAGGGAAAAGGAGTACAAGAGGGGTGGAGAATCTTGAAAAAGAAGATTCTCCAAGCACTACAAATAATTCCAACAAGAAAATGTGTTAGAAAACAACAGAGGAAGCCCACGTTGTTCCACAAAAAATTACATGACAACCTGAAAGAAAAAAAGGACATGTACAGGAAATGGAAGCAGAGTAAGGCCACAAAGGAAGAATATAAACAAAGTAGCAAGGAATTGTAGGAATAGCATCAGGAAGGCTAAAGCAGGAAATTAACTGAGAATAGAAACATTGTAACAGAGTGTTGAAAGGGGTATCCTGGGCCATCTAGTCTGACCCCTGGCTCCAGCTGGCTCATGACATGCCTACCATGGCAAGGGATGCTAAGAACTATTGTATTTCAATGTATTTTATCATGTTGTAAGCCGCCCCGAGGTTTTGGCAAGGGGCGGCATAGAAATGTTATAATAATAATAATAATAATAATAATAATAATAATAACAAGAAATCCTTCTTCAGATACATCCAGAACAAAACACGTGAAAGAGAAAGGTGCCCAGCTACTTAAAGTGGATGGCAGAGTGATATTAGATGACAAGGAAAAGGCAAAAGTTCTCAATTACTACTTCGCCTCAGTTCCCACAAGAAAATCTACAACCAAGAGGAAATACAAGCTGAAAGTGAGAGATGGAAGTCCAAGATTGACAGACAAATAGTAAAGGAATACCTAGATGAAATAAACACTTTCAGATTTCCAGGGTCCAATGAACTCCACCCGAGAGTCATAAAAGAACTAGCGCAGGAACTCTCAGAACCAATGTCTATTATCTTCAATAAATCTTGGAAAATAGGAGAAGTGCCAGAAGACTGGAGAAGGACTAATATTGCCTCCATCTTCTAACAAAAATATGGGGGTGGGGGGGCGGGGAGGGATGGACCTTGGAACTATCAACCAGTTAGTCCAACATCAATCGCTAGAATAATTCTGAAGAAAATTATTCAAAACTCAGTCTGCAAGCATCTTGAAGAAAATGCAATGATTAACAGAGGCCAGCATGGATTTATCAAAAATAAATCATATCAGATTGATTTAATCTCATTTTTTGACTGAGCAACCTTCCAAACGGACAGAGAGAATAGTGTGGACATAATCTATCTAGACTTTAGCAAAGCTTTCAACATAGTGCTCCATAACATTTTGATTAAAAAGTAACAAAGTACACTAGACAGAAAAACTGTTAGATGGATCCAAAATAGGCTGCCAATTGGGACACAGAGTGATCATCAATGGGACCTTCTCAAACTGGATGGAGGTCACTAGTGGGGTGCTGCGGGGTTCAGTCCTGGACCCACTGCTCTTCAACAACTTTATTCATGACTTATATGCAGAAGTATAAGGAAAGATGATCACATGTGCAGACAATACAAAACTGAGTGGAATAGCGAACACCCTAAAAGACAGAATGAAGATCCAGGGTGATCTTGATAAAACTTGAATTCTGGGCCAAAAGCAACAGAATGAGATTCAATAGGGACAAGTGCCAAGTCCTCCACCCAGGAAAAAGAAATCGAATGCATCGATACATGATGGGGAATATGTGGCTTAACAGAACTGAAAAAGAAAAAGACCTTGGGGTAATTGTGGACAATAGGTTAAAGATGAGCCAACAAGGGCATGCAGCTGCAAAAAGGGCAAACACTATTTTGGGATGCATCAACAGAAGTATTTCTTCCAAATCATGAGAAGTAGTAGTTCCCCTATACTCTTCACTGGTCAGACCTTATGAGAAATACTATGTTCAGTTCTGAGCACCAAAATTTAAGAAAAATGCAGAAAAATTAGAAAGAGTTCAGAGGAAGGCGACAAAAATTATCCAGAGTTTGGAACCACTGCCCTGTGAGGACAGACTGAGAGAACTAGGCATGTTCATCCTTGAGAAGAGATGACTAGATGACCTGGGGCGGGGGCAAGATATCCCTCTATAAGCACCTCAAAGGCTGTCTCAAAGAGGAAGGTCAAGATCTCTTCTTGCTAATGCCAGAGTGTGGGACATGGAATAACCAATTCAAGCTGCAACAACCCAGATTCAGGTTAGATATCAGGAAAGCTTCCTCAGTGTCAGAGCAATACAGCAGTGGAACCAGCTGCCTAGAGAGGTGGTGGGCTCTCCCACACTGGGGACATTCAAAAAGAGACTGGACGGTCATCTGAATAGATTGGTGTCCTACAACAGCAGGGCGTTGGATCCAATGGCCTTCACGGCCCCTTCCAACTCTACTATTCTAAGATACTGTCTTATGCTCAGCCTAAGGTTGATATAATAAATATTATATTCTAGGTTACTATAGTAAATATTTTAAAAGATTAGGGTGCAGTTCTATGGCTGGTAGATGCTATTTAGCCAACCATTGGAAAATTTGGATGCCCAGTTCTGACTTCAAAAATGCACCCTGTTGGAACTGGGGCTAAAATTTGGACCATCTCCCCAGCTTCTTGCATGGTGCAGTTCTTTCCACACAGGACATGGCTCTGAGGCAGCAAGACTGACCACAGAGCTGGTGCTGGGGGAGCATTCAGGGTAGTGGAGAGAAGGATGAACGAGGTTCCTCAGGGATTTGATACATCCCAATGCTGTCACCGCATGTACTCTTTTGTGTACAGGGGCAGAAGATTTAGATGCCTGAAACTAAACATCTTAGTCTTTTGCAAGGTGGGAGAAGTGGAAGGGGGCTGACCTCTGTCTAAATAAGATGTCCCAAATCCTCCAGGTTCAGATGGTTATGGTCAGCCACATTGGAATAGCCTATTATGTTATATTAATATTAATATAATATGCCATATAAAAGAGAAGTCTGATAACATAAGTAGACGAGTTAAATTCCAGCAGTCATGAAACCCGGTTTTAAGTGCTCAGCACAGCTTTCCTGCACTGAGCCGCTGCCAAGACAATTATGCAAAATAAGGAAGTAAGTAAAATGCTGCTTGGTTTGAATACAGCCTGCCAAATATTCATAGAATAGTAGAGTTGGAAGGGCCAGTAGGCCGTCGGGTCCAACCCCCAAATTTTTGCAGGTCCATTTTTGTTTTAGGCTCAGAATACATTTCATTGCAGAAATAATAAATTTTGCCCAC